TAGGATCTACAAAGAGAAATTTTCTACAGAGAACAACTGATGTTTTTTACTTTTTTAACAGAAAACAAACAAGCAATTTGCAGTGATCATGAACAAAATAGGTGGCAGGTAAAAGGATTAGGTTTCGAGTGGGATTGCAGAGGTAAACACGATACTGAAATTGCACTTAACACCTGTGATATTATGAATTGCATAGGACAATGGACAGATTGGCTGCGACTGGCTGCCACTAATGCAGAAAAGGGAGCAAGTCCTCTTGTATCAGGCAGAACACAACATTAATTATTATTATTTATAAAGCGCCAACAAATTCCGCAGCGCTGTACAATAGTTGGACTAACAGAGAAGGATTTGCAACAAGACGAGTTGGACGCACAGGAACAGAGGGTGTTGAGGGCCCTGCTCAAAGACGCTTACATTCTAGAGGGAGTGGAGTAAAGTGACACAATGGGTAAGGGTAAGATGTATTTAATGTACGGGGAAAAGTAGGTTGCTAGAGTATTTAATAAGCTCCCTGTAGTGCTAGCATACTGCAGCAATGCTGGATCAGTAAATGGTTGTACGTTTATTTCCGGAGCCAAATCAATGCTAGCACACAGTGCCATGTGTGACAAAGATATGACTTGTCATTCCTGCTGCCTTCATGACACACCAGATCACTAGAACAGAAACGATGCATACCTGAGCAGCAAAAAGTCTGGGCTGGTTGGCAAACATCTCCTGCAATACAAATCAGATCCGTCATTAGGAAGGGGAAAACTGGGCACCTGCTCCACACCATGCAACTACGTTTATTATTATTATAATTTCTCTCTCTGAGCAGCATAAACTACAGTAGCGCATGCCTCTCACTATTTTCGAGATGAGGATTGTGCTGGCATGACGTGCTATCATTACTCTAAACATATGGACCTAGTTTATTTCCAGGACACGCTGATTCTCACTGGCAGCGTGTGAGAGAGGTGTGCGGCTGTGCACCATGGAATGCACACACCCAATAGCTGGAGCACTAGGGACAAGATCCCACATTCAGGGATGCCATGAGTGCCCTGGACTTTGTAGTCCATGAGTGCCCCTAAGGAGGCTAACTATTTGGAAGTGCAGTGAGGGATAGCTAGAAGCCCCAACTAGGAGCTTCTGTTAGCTTTCCTGAGCTATGCCCTACAGAGCTAGGCCAACTCATTGGCTGAGAGATTCCAACAACAGTTTGACTACTTGCAATGGGGGCGGGGGGCACCAGAGCACCTCCTACCACTATAACCAATGCATTTTGGGTCTGGAGCTTGGAGTGTTCCTCTGAAAATATTTGTTGTCTGGGGTCCAGGAAATACATAAGATGACCATAATGAAGCAGCCCAATATTGCGAAATGTGATTTTTACAAATTTTGATCCTGAAAATTTCAGGTCAGAAATATCCTGAAACTCAATATTTCTAAATGTCTTAATTTAGCCTAAATTTAGCTGCGGTGCGTGCCTTTTTAAATAGGTTCATAGTAATAATTGCAATCAACGTATGGTCCAGGTAATGAAGAAGTTTAGCAATATGCGAAGGAAAGAAATGCAGCCCATACAGAGGCACAATGCAGGTTTGAGCTATTTCTGAAAAGATCTGGAAACCCTTTCTACATTTTACAGAACCTCATAAATCCATTGAGTTCTAATCCATTGCAGCGGCATGTCACACCTCTCAGCCGTCAGAGGGAGAGGTTAATTAGGAAGGTTAAAGAAAGCAGTGCCACTGATTTATGGACACGCTGGGGACTCCCCCGTGGTCATTACAGCTTAGTCAGACCAAGCTACAGATTGCTCCCTGCACAGTGATGGATTAAACAGAGCTCCTGCTTCCAGTGGAGACAGGAGACCAAAGAAGTCCATGACATTACATTGAATTGCTGAGCAGACCACGTAATCTAGAGGGGTTAAGAAACATTTAGCATAAATGCTACTCCAGCTTCTCATTTGATGTGTTTAACCCCTCTTCTTAAGTTTAGATATTGTCCCTTCTGAGTTTTTCATTAGTCTGACACATCATGTCATCAAAAGTCACTTGTAACAGCTGATAGGAACCATTATCTCACATGATATTCAATAGATCCCTATAAATTCTCACTGCGCATGCTCAAGAAAAGCTATTTTAGGACTATCTGGTCTCATAGGATCTTCCATAGTGGTTCCCCATTTTGTACTTGCATGTGTGAAACAACTCCTCACTGCGTCATTTGCCAGAAAGAGTGGAATAAACCGGCACAGAGGAGATATAGTTTTTGGTAAATATATTTCCTTTCTGACCCTCTCCATGGGTGCCAACGTGGAAGTGGACAGGCCACCTGGAGGACCTTTTTTTTTTTAAATGCAAAAACCCCAAAATTGACAGAGTTGCTTTAAGAGTTAATTTTAAGAGAAACAGTTGAAGGTTTATGGCAAAACAAGATACAAATTCTATATAAAGTGACATAGTTAGGAAGCATGAAAGTAAATTTAGAGGGGGACGTTATGGAAAAAGAGTAACTGTGAAAGTAGGCACGACCAAAACGTGGATATTTCAGCTCATTGCACATGTGAGCTAAGTCAATATATAACCGTGCCAACCCTCAGTTCTGCGAAATCACTCTCACACAGATAGACATCCCAGACAATGGTTGTTAACAATACCGCTTTTTCTATAGAATTATCTTACGTTCCTCTAGAAGCAAAAATATTTGGAGACTATACTATTTATACTATAGAGAACTCTAGTAACGTAACATTATTATGAGTATTATCCGCCCTTTCCTTCAATATACAAAGTCTATGTACTTTTTTGAATATAATATTAAGTAATTTAAGACACATATTCCATCACTGACAAAGCATCATGGGAGTTTTAGAATGTTACATACTGCATGCATGCAGCATTCACACACAAGTGTAAATATACCATCACATGCTGCCCTTAGCATTCACATAATACCTTTAGCATTCACATAACCTATGCTGCTTAATGCTGACATGTTACTCACACATTGCACACAGCATTCATACACTGAATACAATATTCACATACTGCACATTATCACACACATAAATACAGATATGTATTTACACACTACGGACGGACGGATGGACATACATTCAAACAATACATACAAAGAAATTGTCATATGTATTATTTTGGTGGGTTTTTTTGTTTGCTTCGAGAGAAATATTTTCTACAAAATCTATTCGTAAGAAAGCACTGGAATGGAGAAAATATGACTTGCATATAATGAATTGGGATGATGGCAATTAATTGGGGGAATAAGTCTAGGAGCAATGCTATTGGGTGATACATCCTGGATACTTGGTAAAACCCGCAGTGGTGGCACAGAACACAAAGACAAACTAAGGACTGACTGTGGAAGCTAGGGTTAGGTGACAGATATTTAGTTCTTGGTGGGTACAAATGCCATATATGGCTACTCTGCTTGCCCCCTAAAAATTTACTATGGGCCTTGAGGATTTGGTTTGAATTATTAGTTGCAAGAGAAATTTATAGCAAAACCAGCCTGTTTTGTCTGAAATCTCCTAATGCAGCAAGCGCAGAGGTGCGTGGTTCTTATTAAAATGTGGCACTCTATAAATCTGGGGCCGCTATAAGGGACAGGTGATAATAATCACCGGATGACAGAGCTGTCATTTTACAGACATTCTTAAGCTCGTCCTCAAGCCACTATTAACGTGACCAAATTAAAGGGAGCTCCTGTAATCAACACCTTCCTTTGTTAGTCCACAGTTAGGTCCATGATTTCTGACCACATGGCGGGGACTTGCATTTTTAACTGAAACAGGAGAGGAGACATATCGAATAACTAGAAAAAGGTGACCCATATGTGCGCAGACATTGTTGCACATTTGGCCGTAATCTTGTTCTGCCCCAAATTGAAGAGATCCTTAAAGAAACACACTAACATTAAAAGTAGATATATATTGATATAACGTTAGAATATTTAATTTTTTTTACCGTGGTGTTTTTTACAGAAATACCACCAAGGCCCATGTAAGACACATCATGCTGGAGTGCCAAAATTCTAATTAAATAACAGAAAGTGTAAGAAGCCGCATTTGGCCTTTTATAGATAAAAGGCTCCTGGTTGTAATACCCATCTCAATGCACCCTAAAAATATAGTCAGATATAATAGAATGCTGAGTATTGGCCTGAGTGCAGCCTTGAGATTGTCTTCCAGAATAGAATGCAGAGATCCTGAATTGATGTATCCCTGAAATTATTGGCAGATACAGAATGCTGAGATCTGGTCTCAATGCTCCAATAGAATGTCATCCAGTTAAGGATGCAGAATTTCTGTCTCAGTGCATCCCTGGGCATATTGGCTGGTACAGGATGTGGTGCATTCGCCAACTGGAACATAAAGATAATGTAACTACAAGCATTCACCTTTCACATTTGGTAAGTCGTCTTCAAAATGTATTTTAAAAAAAGTACGAGGGGGCGGGGCCGGACCGCCGAGCTACATGGTCGCAGACACGAGCTGCTCCTGCAAAAAACAACAATTACCCTGAAAATTATGACTTACTACCTTCCAACTGACCACCAGCGACAGTGCACAGAGCACAGGGACTGCTGGACCCTGGGTGAGGCTGGCTCATCGAGCTACAGGAGGAGATATCTTGTTGCCACGAGCGAGGCCTTCTCCAGCGGTTAGTGGGGTGGACGGCCGCTGCCCCACTATAGTGCAACACAGCACCCAGCTTGGGGCGCACACCCAGGTGGATCCGGACCTGTTCCCCCCCCCATGGACCGGTGGGGGTGATCCCAGTCCTCACCCTGTGGCCCTTCCCAATACAACACAAATGGAGCCGGGGGACCCGAGAGCAGCTTCCAAGATGGCGGGCGCCATGTGCGCGGGAAGTAGGAAGAAATCATGCACCATCTCCGCGCTCACGGCAGACAACGGGACTCCGACACCCCGATCTTGCAACAAGGAGGGGCGGATAAACCCCCACCTACCCCCGCAGCCACATATGCCAAAGTCAAGCAGCACAAGAGACCCCAAGGAGCAGATCATAGCGAAAGCACAAGGGGGACGAAACATCGCACCACGATCATTCCCGCCGAGTATACCAGGGCCTGCCGTCAAGCGAGCTACCTTCGCACAGGGACCCACCTTGCACTCACCTGCCACCCAACTTGCACCACCACGACCCAGCCGACAGCCTAATCAAGCGACGGACGCCGAGCTCTCAGCAGGGTCTGACACCAACCCCCGGACGATCGGCAGTGGCAGGCTACCCAACGAGCGGCTGATACCCAGGAGAATCTGGCAAGGACCCCACAGAACAGCATGGATGGCTAGGATGCCTGCTCTGATGGACGCTCGCTCCCCGCTACAAAGAACTAGCAGAGCAGGTATCGGTTAGTTACGTGACTTCCCCTGTCTATGTGGGCTCAGGACCACCCTGAAGCCAGCCCTTTCCCATGGAGAAAGCCCGGGAAACCCCCTTGATACACTAGGGTGAAAGAACTACCACAGCGACATACTTAGACCTCACTTACGATTTGTATTGCATGTTGTTTTAGAATAGCAACCCTATGTAAATGTAACTTAAATGGCACTCATAAGCACACACTCACATAGGTACTGCTGCCACACTAGCAAAGCACAAACCAACACATGGCAACCATAATGCAGCATATCCTACAAAATCATATGTAATCACCCAAGCGAGAACCTGCATATCTGTAAGCACCTCACTGTAACATTAAGCGAGAACCATGAATGTCTTATAGCTTGTTATCCTCATGAAAAAAACAAACTGCGCTGTTTAACCTGTCACGATGTAATGCTATGAAACTGCTTGCAGAGGCTGTCGTGGCTCTGCACGCTTGCTGTCATTTCATGCGCAAACAAAATAAAGAATTTAAAAAAAAAATTTTTTTGAAAGTACAAAAATTCTAATAATTTATTTCTCCATTTTATGATACCCGATTTTCAAGGTTTGTTTTAATTTTGGTTGTTTGGTCAATCTTTATTTGGTGTTGTGCACATTTAACAAGCAGTCCTGCATTGCCCCAGCAGCAGATGCAAGGACATTAAAACATAAATCCGCACAGTGTGTGGCAATCACAATATCAGCACAGTTTTTAGGAATGTAAAGAGAAAATAAAACGAGCTAGGTAAAACACAAGTTATAAGACATTGCATTATGCAGGCTAGACAAACATGTCAGAGCATCAATAGGAGGCAAAATGTAGTACCGGACATGGAAAGTAGTAAACACATTTGTACATGTAATATTAAGCTAGAGAAACTTGGATAGTTTTAACTAGCATGTACGAGAACCACTGGAGAGTAAAAACTAAGCAGTGCTGCACAGGGAGATGGTAAAAAAAATGAAAAATTAGAAAATCTATGAAAATCACTATAACTGGTCACAGACCAAGTACAATTAGCAGATGATATCATAGCACAGGCAGTGAGTCCAAACCTCGGTTCAACATATCCCCACAAGCGGCGAGACCAGAGTGCTTTCAGGATATATATCTTTCTAGTAGTTGCACCGTAGGGCCAGATCAGGGCTCCCCTCCTTTGGCCACAGACCTGGAATCTTCTGGGAACCAAGTCCTTCCCCCACTGGGGGTAGAGGGAAGATCTGGATGACCATCGTCACTGTGGGCGAGTTATCTTTGACATGCGTGGCCTATGCACAGAGGGCGATCTTCGTTAGGCTTTCGATCCGGGTAGGTTAACAGCATGGTGAATAAGTTGTTGTTGGGTTGTTGTTGGGTTGTTGTTGTTGCTACTTTTGCTTTCTTCCCTTTACCAAGCTAGGGAGGCTTTTTCACGCAGTTTGAGCCAAAATCTCTGAAAGATCTCATCCAGGCTCAGTAAGGTACTCTCTGCAGAGCTGTGAGGAGGTCATCAGAATGGACTCAATCCTAGTGTGTTGGTTGCTAGAACAACCGCCATTTTACATGGGTGAAGTTTGGTCGGCATACAGATCAGAACAGGAGCGTTGTGCAGCCATAAAGACTGATTCAGGCCAGTGAGGACCGGGATAACCCCCACCGGTCCATGGGGGCAGGAGGCAGTGGGACTGTGCAGCAATCAGATGGGCAAGGAGGTAAGCCGCCTCTCCCCAACTCCATCCTCAGCAGGCCTCAGCAGTATTTTTTAGGTTCCCAGGGTAGTTAAGTTTCTGTGTGTTTGTCTGAAAAACCCTGACTTTAAAACAGTATACTGGCCGGGGTTGGCACCCCCAAACCGGACAAATAATCAGAAACTTGTGCACCTCACATCTAGTCTGCTTGTTCCTCCATTAACAGGTTTGTTTTTAAAGCAAAACAGTGCTAATAATCCATTTTTCATTTTACAAGAATTTTTATTTATTCTGTTTGTAGCGGAGCTCCCTGTATCCCAGCTGGGTACCTCTACCAAGGACCGCTTCCTAGCTGGAACAGGGAAAAACCTTAGCGCTTCTGCCCCAGTTGCTGTAGCTTGACAGGGGTCCTTCTGGAGCCTGTGCGTCCTGGAGCAGGATAGGGACTGGATGACACACACTCCTGGGAGCTCTAGTCCTTACAAGGAATTTCCCCGCCGAATCCTCCACTAGCTGAAACAAAGTGCTAAGCAGTGATTATAGCCCTTCCCCTCCCAGTAACTAGACGACACATAGTTCTGTGAGTCAATTGGTTTAATGCATCCAAACACAGTCTTTTTATACACAGACCCCAGCAGGGGGTCTCCATTGTCTTCACCACAAGCCCCTCCCAGGAATCTCTGGGCCTAGGAGATAATTGTGTTAAAGACCGGTAAGCTAATTATCTCCCTGGAACAGATAGACAAACATAAAAATAAAAAACATAAAAATACCCCAAAACATCATAAAAACATAAAATAACCCCTCAAATAATACATCCCCAAAATAGTCCTGATCTGAGCGCCCAAGTTCTCCATATAGCGCTCAGATCTATGCAGTGTAGGGGAAACGCCACCATGTTAATGTTCTGGCCGGCCGCACACGTGGTCCTATGCCCAAAATAGTTCTAGGGCGTTTGGTGTTTCTGCCGTTCAACTTTCGGGAGCTTCTACGGCCGCAATACAGGGTGCTCCGCCTGGCTCTTAGGTAGCGTTTGTTCCCCTTCCCTCCAAAAAGCGCTCTCCTGGCGGATTTCAAAGTGGTTCAAAACCGCAAACCACCTTATGCCGAAAATAGTTCCATAACATTCGTGGCTAAGTCCTGCTGAGGTGACCAGGAACCCACGACGTTCTCATGCCAAATTTAGTTCCATAGCGGTCGCGGCTAAGTACCACTGGGACTATTTGGTCATGCGAACGGCCACCAGAGAGCCAGCCTTCGGTTCTATTTGCATGAAGGGAAAGTACTGAACCAGGGGCACCCAGGGAAAGCTACTAGTGGCGGCTGGGCAGGGTAACTCCCAAATGGTGTCCCAGACCTGGACCATAGTCGGTGGGCAGGAGGCCAGCTTCTATACTCCTCCAGGAGTCCGTGGTAAACGTATGTGGGAAGGAGCGTTTGTCATACTGTTTGCTACATAAAAACTGTAAACAGCAGAAAAGTACCCACTTTTAACTCTTTTTCAGGGTACAATAATTTATTTTTCCAAAGATAATTTGGCTTGTAAAACACTCCTTGCCCAATCCCACCTGGTTGCTTCAGATGTAGTGATTGTTTTATCACTCCAGTGATCAACTTTTTGGAAAACTTAGCACCGAAAAGGAAACACAACCAGCACTTAAAGGCCATTAGAGGGAACCTCTGTCCTGTGTAAACACTGCTGTCAGACACCAAGTGCATGAATTTTACAAGTCATTCCATTGTCTTTTAACACACTTTCCCTCATGAAACTAACGCTCTTTCTGCTTCAGCTTTCTCTAAGCCCCTAATATACCTTGAACAATGCCCCAGCAATAAAAGAGTCTGAAAAGTGCTATTTACATAATAAAATCTTTAGAATAGGTAGCCCTGAGCCCTTCACACATCCCTGGAGCTCGGTCAGGTATACAGAAACCAGAAACATAAAGAATTCGGTGATGATGACTGTTACTCAATGATATGTGGAGGAAGAAAGTCAGTGGTTGTGTGGGTTAAACTATACTGCTGGCAGAAGTAATGATAGGGGACCCCAGATGCATAAATAAGTATGGCCATCCATGCCATTCCTATCAAAATATGTAAAAGAGTACTCTAAGCACCATAACCACTATACAGTGCCATAGTGGTTATCATGCTGATGGTAATACATTTACCACTCTTAGCCAATTAATAATATCCCATTTCGGTACGAAAACCCACTGTAGCAAATCAACTCAGACCGAAAGCATAAAGCAGTGCAAACACCTGAAAGAGTCAGGTAAGTGTCAAACAGTTCTTAAACCGGTGGACGGCGCTGGGGGATTCCTGGCACCATACCCACTGCAGATCTGGGAAGTGGTTATGGTACTTGGAATGTCCCTTTAACAAGAATCCCATAGCATTTACATCCCTACATCCTTATGCCTTTCTCCTCAGTAATCACACGATGCCAACATTTACCTGCCAATTCCCCATTACATCCCCATAGTCCCCCCTACCCTACCCAATATAAATTCCCACAATGCTCTGCAATTTACCCCTTCCTCCCAAACTTGAGCCCCTTATTTCTGTGCAATTTTTCCTTCCTCTCTAATTTACATTCCCACATTCCCCCGGCAATTATTAAACACCATTCCGGATTGCTTACACACCTCGCTATTCAAGGCACAATATACCCATGCGGGCTAGCTGTATAAGACGGTCATAACTACGCAGTACCTCCTCTGTTAGTGCTTGCTCCCTGTAAGTGTGAGCACCTCAGTCAGGATTTTCTGTGACGATGTTAAACAGACCCCAAGATCTTAGGGTACATGTAACACTGAGATGGATAAATATGTGTTGCTCTGTAAAATGTGAATTCCGCAGCCATCTCACTTACACTTCTAAAGGACGGGTGATTGCAGTATCAAAGTGTCGAGAGGAAGTAACTGTTTCCTTATCTAATGCCATCAAGGCCTCTAGCCGTAACCTAAAGCAGAACCCATCAAAGTGCTGACTGGGGCTTACATGAGAACTTTGGTTTTTTTTGAAAATGAAAATCCAGATGATTTTGAAACTCAGCAAAAGTTTAGAATAAAAGATGTAAGCTAAAACAAAGAATTGTAATTTTTAAATAAATTTAAATATTAACTGTTAAACAAAGTAAGACCCCGCAAGCTCCTAAACAATAACACCAAGGCACAAAATTTGTAGCAATCGGGGAATCTAAATAAAAACACGTTATTCTGCCTGTGGACTGCCAGTGTAATTTGGATTTATTCAGAGTGACGTAGAGTGTGATAGTCTATGTGACATAGTATAAAACAAACCGTTATGAGTGTCCCATTTTGATTTCCAGTGACAAAGGCTGTACCCTCATACAATCAAGGCCCACATCATGATTTTTTATTCCTATATATCACGTTCACAAGCTGGGTAGGGCAGTAAAATGCGTTGGTATTTTATAAATAATTTGAATAATACAATGATAGAGATAAAGTGAGGAAAGGTGGATATAGTAACTGATTTAAACAAGGGGGGCAGCAAGAATTAAGGCAGACACAATGGGTGAAATTGACGGGGTCGTTAAGGGAGGTAGCCAAGATAATTGATGCACAGGAGGATCAATGAGTGACAGGGAATAATGTATTATGGGAAAAGAATACCATTAATGAGGTTCTATAGTAATCCTATATATTTTGGGGCTGTAGCTGCCACTACTATGACCCATAGTGGTTCAAAATGCTTCTTTAGCCTCACTCAGGTTGATAGTACCCCTAATATCACAACAACAGTATTAGCAAGTTGCTACAGCTTGAAAATTCCATTTGCCCTCTAGTGGCAATATCTGTTACTACAAGAAAGGAGGTAAAAGTGGCTGTTTTAAAATTACTCTGTATGTTCAATGCACACACCGCCACAGTGGATATTCAACCTTGTTCACTTATTAAATCTTTAAAGAAAAAAAATCTAATGACAAGACAAGTCAATAATGTCTTTGACATCAGTGCAACAAAGCACTTTTACTCTGGAGGTTAAGTAACCATTTTACTTGAAGCAAAAAACAACATAGCTCACAACGGAAGCCACAATGATTTTAGTCCTGTCAAAAATATATTCTTTGCTTCGATCCTGCATCTAGACCCCGGACCCACTGCACTGCCAGACCCTCCAAACGTTGATCCTCTCTGTGATATTTGATTACACAAGGGTGAACACTCCTTCTTTGTTGAATCTCTGTAATTTTCACATCACAAAGCCCTCTGGTCTGGGAAGATTTCTTTCTGCGGAGCCTGCTTTGTGTCTTGTTGGGTTTTTGATGATTTTACAAGGTAGGAGTACCAGCTGTTTCCTAGAATGCTATGTATATATTGAAGAGGTGATGTATCAAAATCTTCCAGCTGTACAACTGAGGGCCCTCGAGCTGGGTTAACTAGTTCCAATCTCAGATCATAGGATGAATAAACAGGCCATTGGCTATAATCAATAGGCAACATGTAGGGCTCTGGAAGCACTATGCCTAGCAGTTCCCAATTGATACATCTCTCAGTGCTAGGAATCAATCAGCAACTTCAATATTTGAAATAAAATTAAACACAACACAAAAGTAGCAATTATACTTGTGTTTTTGTTTCATTATATATGACTTACGTTGTATTCATATAGCTACATTACATTTGGTCAACAAATTGCTTTGCGCAAAGCCATAGACTTTATCTTTTTTTATTATTAAATAACGTATTTTGCCATTTTCCAGATTTCCCAGTAGAAAATCAGTTATCCCATAGCACCTCACCTTCACTCTACCGCCCCCACACCGGTGAAAGTAAGCAATAACAGAGTGGATGATCCGATAATTACCAGATAGCCACTAGAGGCGCTTTTGGGCCGTTAGGCGACTTTTGGTCTCCTAACTGATGCTGGATGTGCATGAGGACATCCAGCGTCACACAAACCCCATAGGAATGCATTATACAATTCTTTCCAAGAGGTCCCCCCCCCCCGCGCCGGTTGATGTCGAGGAGGAGCGGAGGCAGATTCTGACCCAGTTGCAAGGGACATCGGCGCTGAAACCAGGTTTTTAACTCCTTCTAAACCATAGGGAGCTATAGTGGCACTACATCTACATTTTTCCTTTAATGCAAAAAAAAAAAGAAAAGAAAAAGTTTGCCAAATTTCGTACTAAATATAACTGGGAATTAACCCACAACACGTTTAGTTTCCATTAAGGATTAAGAATTGTGACCTTCGCTTACATCTACACATTTGTTTGCATTAACCTACTTTAATGCTCGGTTTATGTTGCTATGTATAGATTACTGTTATTTTCTTTAACTGTCCCGTATTTATTTACGATGCTTCAGCATCAGGGAATAGTTATCCCAAACAAAATAGTATGTAAATACAAACTGCTGTAAATATATCACTGCGTAATAACACATTGTGTTCATTTACTAAACACTGAGTAATAGTTTATAAGTGACTAGCAAAATCAGACCAAAATCGCCAATTTACTTAAATTGAATCATTTACAACACATCAATAATAATTAGTATTTGCAATCTACTTGTCAACCCATGGCATATAACTGTATCGAGAATAAATCGTAAAGTGACACATGGAAGGTAGTTATGTATAAAAATAATTTATTGCAATAACTTTATTCAGTCATTTAATCTCTTCCTCTGTCTCTCTCTTTGTCTTTGATTTTTCTGTTGACCTTTTCTTTAATATAGCAATCTCTCTAGGCATAGAATGCCTTATCGTCACCATTTTAATGTAAAGAATCCTCTAATTTGTTTTAGACAAAAACTATTTTCTTAATGTCAGTAGATGACATCTTGTACTGTGCTGTCACAGAGCAGGTCGCAGAGCAGCTGTTATCAAATCCCTGCTAAGATGTCTTTCTGCTGTAAGCAAGTGCAGCTTTTAATGCCTTTCTTCATAACTAAGATCTTCCATTCCCCTTATTCATATTGTAGCCCACATTTGCACTTGCTCACATTACTTAATGGGACTCTATAGACACCCAAATCAACTCATCTCATTGAAGTAGTCTGGGTGCAATGTCCTTGCCCCCCTTAGTCCTGCAATGGTAAAACATTGCAGTTTTTGAGAAACTATTGCAATACTAAGACAGCCTCTAGTGGCTGTCTACCAGATAAACACTAGAGGCACTTCTGGGAGTTTACAGCCCTTAACTGATGTTAGACATTCTAATGCTAGCATCAGTAAAATCCCCATAGGCAATGCTTTCCAATGTGGAAGACCTAATGCACATGTCCCCCATCAGATGACGTCAGAGGAAGTGGAGAGCAGACCTAGTACCAAAGGAACTCGGTGCTGGAATCGAATAAGTGAATAAAGGGTTTTTAACCCTTTAACTGCTGGGGGGGTGCCAGAAGGAACAATAGCATTGTATGACATATTCACGGTGGAGTCTTGACGTTGATTTATATACAGGGACAATTATATATTCATCATCCAAGTGAATATCCTTTTTTATGCGTGACAGTAACTAAGTGGCCTTTGCAGCTGCTGACTGACTGTGTGAATTGGTATAGGTTAGTTAGTAAACAGGAAGACAGATTGTGGAATCTATACTTTACATCGTTCTCAACACTGTAACATTATTATCTTTATTATTATTATTATTATCATTATTAGTATTATTATTATGTTACCCATATTCAGTATCTTAAAAATCCAGTCATTGCCTTGTACAGAAGAGCTTGCAATCCATTTGAGACGCACCCAACAATAGGTATCAGAGCAAATTCAGGTACGTGGAACTGAATTATAATTTCTTTGATATGAACAAGGCTTGTTAAGTAGAGTTACCTGCTCCAACACGGAGATCAAGGCTGGGAATTTTGCTATATCAGACTCAATATTGGGCAAGTTTTATTCATTGCTAGGCAGAGGGAGAACCATGTAAAATTAGACCTATAAACTTTGTATGTATTGGCACTGGATGAATCCACTTTGCTCTCAGCCAACATCATAGCAAAACATAGAGCACTTAAAAGTACCAGGTGTTATAAAAATGAACCTCACTCACAATTTTTTTAGCTGCTTGTTTATATGCTATGGATTCTATCTTCTAAAGATTGACTTTACAACCAACTTGTAGAATGTTGAGAGAAATAACAGTCTAGGAAAAATATCCCCAATTTACTAAAGAATGTCAGTTGTTTACTAAGAGGCCTGTAGCAACCAATTCCCACTGCCTAGATCAGTTACAGTTGGGTACATTGATTAGAATTGCCTCCTTGGATATAACAGCTTGCAGAACGAAGCAGTGTCAAAAAACACCGACTTGTACCCAAATCCTGAAACTGAGATTGAAGAAATATTTAAACTGAAGATTATAGATTATTTATTATTATTATTATTTTATTATTTATATAGCGCCATCAGATTCCGTAGCACTGTACAATGGGTGGGCTAACAGACATGTAATTGTATCACATTTTCCTGATGTCCTGACTTAAACAACCATACTCTGAAAAAAAAAAAACCATTACTGAGCGGCAAGCAGATAAATAGTTATTATTATTATTATTGTTATTATTTATAAAGAATCAACAAGTTCCGTAGCGCTGTACAATGGGTGGACTAACAGACAAGTATTTGTAACCAGACAAGTTGGACACACAGGAACAGAGGGATTGAGGGCCCTGCTCAATGAGCTTACATGCTAGAGGGAGTGGGGTATAGTGACACAGTAACAGAGGGATTGAGGGCCCTGCTCAGTGAGTTTACATGTTAGAGGGAGTGGGGTATAGTGACACAGTAACAGAGGGATTGAGGCCCTGCTCAGTGAGTTTACATGTTAGAGGGAGTGGGGTATAGTGACACAGTAACAGAGGGATTGAGGGCCCTGCTCAATGAGTTTACATGCTAGAGGGAGTGGGTATAGTGACACACTAACAGATGGATTGAGGGCCCTGCTCAGTGAGTTTACATGTTAGAGGGAGTGGGGTATAGTGACACAGTAACAGAGGGATTGAGGGCCCTGCTCAGTGAGTTTACATGTTAGAGGGAGTGGGGTATAGTGACACAGTAACAGAGGGATTGAGGGCCTGCTCAGTGAGTTTACATGTTAGAGGGAGTGGGGTATAGTGACACAGTAACAGAGGGATTTGAGTGAGTTTACATGCCTGACACAGTAACAGAGGGATTCTGCTCAGTGAGTTTACATGTTAGAGGGAGTGGGGTATAGTGACACAGTAACAGAGGGATTGAGGGCCCTGCTCAGTGAGTTTACATGTTAGAGGGAGTGGGGTATAGTGACACAGTAACAGAGGGATTGAGGGCCCTGCTCAGTGAGTTTACATGTTAGAGGGAGTGGGGTATAGTGACACAGTAACAGAGGGATTGGGGCCCTGCTCAGTGAGTTTACATGTTAGAGGGAGTGGGGTATAGTGACACAGTAACAGAGGGATTGAGGGCCCTGCTCAGTGAGTTTACATGTTAGAGGGAGTGGGGTATAGTGACACAAAAGGTAAAGGTAGGGCAGAAAGTTAGGTTGTTAGGATAGTGTTCAATGAGGGCTTAGTGTTTTGTTTTGATGACAGTTAATAAGAAATGCATGAGGATAAAAAAATATATATTTGAGGGTCCCATTAAAATGGGAAGTAACGTTCTAGTTGTTGCCTTATCATCCATCAAATGAACAATAGGATAAATCCATATTTTTTAGGCCATAGAATAGGGGTAGGATAAGGGGACGTGAGTATGCCTCCCCCTTCATGTTGAGTGAGAAAATATTGCAATTTTGTTTTTTAGTTTATGTTTTTTTTTAGTACTTTTCAATACTGATAACTGGTCTTTTTTTCCCCAAACAAACTTGGGGTTTCTAAGTCATCTATTGTCAGCATTCTACAAGATCATTAGAATCAAGTTGGAGTATGGGAACCAAATTGTTACGAGATCACTCAGATTTTTTGAGTCCACTTAAATCAGTTCTTTTTGTTTGCCCATACAAGAGTATTTGTGAACAGCTCGCACAGGATCCATCTTAGTTTTTAATACTTCATCTGTCTAACAAAAGCCATTTGGTCACATTAAGAAAGCCACTTTAAAAGCGACTCCTCACTCCACAAACATAAAATTCAATAAATAAAACAAAATGAATCAGGATTCAATAGATTTGCCTGAATTGTATTTATTTATTACTGGTATTTATAAAGCTCCAACATGTCCTGCAGCGCTGTACAATTAGTGGAGAACGTACAATATACACAGACAAATACAAGAGGTAGAGATAGCCCTGCCGTAAGCTGATATCTAGCCATTGGAGCTCTTTTATACAAAGCGCTTAGCTAGATGGCCCATGAGCTTACAATCTAAAGGATACAATGGGGATTTGAGAGGAAATTTCGAGGTGATGGCTAAAAGAGTTAACAGAGAGAAGCAGCTGGTGGGACATGCTATATATTTAGGGGGAACCTGGGTGGGCGGGAGGAGGGGAGGGTGGGTGGTTAAGTGGTGAGAAAGAATGCAGAGCTTCACTGAGTTTGAGTGTGAGCTGAGGCCTGAAGAACAGAGATGGAGATTGAATGAATACATGCATGCTTTTAATTATGCTTTGTATTTATTGGGGTATTTCTAAAAAACAATTGCTGCCTCTTCAGTGTTAGCTCCACTGAGCTAAACAACCAGGAAGTAAAAGGACTGGTTTTTTGATTGACAGCCAGAGGGGTGTAACCAGGTTAATTTATAAAAGTGACAATTTCTACTGAAGTCTACACTTTTTGTAAGATTAAAAATGAGTACACACTGTTCACACATAAAGCACTTCATCAAGCTAAACTACTTTAGGTATTTGGAGT